GGCCGGTGCAGCAGCGAGCGCCGTCGGACGGACGACCGCCATGGCGGTCACGTGTTTCCAAAGTTCGCCATGCGCCACGATTTTAGCGCTGTACCGTGCCGGTTAGGAAGTCACGATCGCTTTGCAGCGTCGCCACAAACGCCCACAGATGATGATGAATCGTGCGTCACGTTCAAGGAAGAATTTCAATCCGGATTTTACAAGGCTGCAGCCTGATGCTCTCCATCTCTGATGACAACACGCAATGTAAGGAAGCATTTTGCCCATTCGGTTAGGCGCGTGATCTCTGTTTTATGTCACAACAGGTCTCTAACTTTGTCGGGTGTGTGCATCACTAGCAAAGCACAATAATGAACGTGATTTCTTCAGATCAGATTGCAGAAAGATTAGATCATATGGGAAGCAACAAAATGTTTGTTCACAAGTCTGCTGTCATATGATACAAAAAACTCGGATGCTATTCGTGACCTGCAGCCATTTATTCGTTGGCGCCACTGGCGCCACACGGTTGTCAAAAGGTGCAAGATGCGACTTGTTCAATATGAAGCGAATATAACGCAATGGAGGTGAGTTTACGCATTGGCAACGTGCGGAAAAATTAGTCTGGTGGTCCAACGTTTTTGTGTCAGGCTGCTGTCCAATTGTGGAGTTTGGACTGATTATTTCGTATTTAAACAAAAGGTGGACCACATCTGCGCTGCAAAACAGGTACACATCGTGACGGCGTAAAACAAACACAAAAAAACATTACATTTTGTGAACGTGCTGCCGTGCTCGCGCACGGAACATCTCGTGGGACTTCTACCCATGCATGTCACGCTGGTGCTAACTTAACGTTGGGCTCAACATTTCACAGAATAAAACTGTGTAGCTACATATGTTATGCCAGCACTTATTGAATGTCACTTCTTTTAATGTCCTGTGTTACCTAAACTTTCGCTCACATGCCTCTGTGATGTGCAAACATTGAGCTCCATTTTAAAGAAGCTGGATAAATGAGCTGGAAAGCTGGTGTATCCTCTATGCAAGTAACTCGCATAGCTTGAAGTTGCCTCCTTCACCGCCGGCTTTCAAAACATATGCGAGTCGTCACATCTGCGTCATAAGCGTATCAGCATAAAGTTCTTGAAAAGACATCAATAACTTGCGTGTCAATTGCAGCATTGGGAAGAGCACGTAACATATTAGGATGTCGTTGGTCCCGCTGTCACAGTGGATAAACGACACGTGATAAGCATCCCCGAAACATAGACTGGCTGCAGATTTGGCTGTTTTTCTTCTTTGCGATGCTCAGATATTTCGGACAAGCTCCTTCATCCTCCACGTGAAAGCAGAAGACGCGACGATGGACGACTTAAAGCGCGATATCAAAGGTCCTTGACGCGGGGGATGGTGAGCCGGATAGAAAGCGCTTCGGCCAGCACCTGCGCGGTGGTAAACCCGCCGTTTTGCCCTGCAATTCTTGAGTAACGGATACGTTTTAGTCAAAGTACGAACAACTGCGTGTTGTTCCATCCAATCCGATTTGCATCAGGTAAGGCTGGGTCCATATCCGATAAAAATCAATGCACTTCTTCCAGAGCTGCTCCAAATGGAATCAAGTCCACTCAAAACTAGGTGAAGAATAGTTAAACCATCATGGAGAAAACCTAAACTTGGTGAATTGCATCGAAGTTATCCACGTGATTGATCCAGTCCGTTTTGAACTCCGGTTTCGATGAACACATTTGGATCCAGATAAGTGGATACCTCTATTAGAGATAGATGTTCAGTTCCGCTGGGTCAAGCTATGTTCAAGCCTGTGAGGAGCCCGAGGACCTCGGAGCTACCATGCACAAGCAAACAGCAACCACGGATGATCGGGTGTCGAGGCCAAATTGTGTGACTATGCTTGCTAATTCAAACTAATGAGTGGGATATGCATCGTCATGATCCGCATCATTTCTAATCTTCCGGAGCAGATACCAGATGTCTACATGAGCCACAGGCCGGTGCCAGATTGACGATTCAGCGGTCACGCGAACCGCACCTGAGCTAAATCCATCGGCTCACCAGGAAACAGGCGCGGGCCCCAGACTTAACACAAGAAGGGGCGCAGGGAGGCGGCGAATTTCACGATACGGAGTTTCAACCTCGGACGCATTCAACATTGATCATCAGCGCTGTGTACAAAATAACGTCCTGACCCAACGCAGCGCCGCAGGCGCCAGTAACTAAACTAACCCTGATCGCGGCCCCCCTCACCAGACCGGCTACGGGTTCAGCCGGTCGTGGACCCTGATCGGAAACACCTCAACTCCGGCAGGTAGGAGTGGGCCCGTCCGCACCTAGTTCCGGTCACGGCGCTGGGCGGACGTCGCCAACCCCATCTATACGGTCAGGCCATCTGCAGTAACGAGTCGGCGGAGGCACCGGAGTCGCACAGTCATCTGCCCAAATCGGGAGCGTTCGGCGCGCGCGGCCCGCGTGATCCGCTGAAGCTGCTCTTGTCGTGGGCCGCACGCACACGTCCCGGTCGTCTTGGCCAAGGCCGGCGGCGGCGGCCGGTGTCCGGCTCCGGCCGGCACGTCTTCCCAGCGGCGGACCCTCAGCGCCGCACCCTAGGGGACCACCGTGCCCAGGCTCTGGCCTGCGCTGGGAGATCGCGGCGTTGCAGCTGTCGTGGTGGGGTCAGGTGGCCCTGGCCCACTGGCGGGGATGGCAGCGGTCTGCCCGCGCGTTGTGGGTGGGCCCGTGCACCCATGGCCGGCGCCCGGGTAACGGCACGGTACCGTACACTTCGACGTGTGCATCGACAGTGGCGCAGCGCGCACCGGTGGGTGCCATACTAGCACCATTGCTTTTACGGGGCCTCTCCGGGTTTGGAATGTAGCCATGCGTCGGAGCAACGGACTGAGATCAAATGGGGCTTTCCATCTTGTCTAAAAATGAAGCTTTATGTTACCTGATGTCCCCTTGGAGCAGCGAGATCTGCGGCTAGCGTGGAGCTGTCGTATATCGTGGCATCGCACACCCGACACGAATTCTTTTCACAGATATGCTACTTTCTTTCGTTCGAGCAAGGCCGGTTGCGGTTAGAGCCGCCGACCCGGCGCCGACGGCCGGCAGGACGACTTTGTGACCAGCTAATATCCAAGTGATGAACAGTTCAAGGATTGGTTTGACTGTTGCGTGTGGACTGGAATGTGCATTGCCCGTGCTTGCCAATATAATCAAATGAGTTCAAATTTATCGCAGGATTCAACAACAAAGCCAGTTTCCAAGCCCGTGGTCGATTTCTCAAGGCCTTGCCAGACTACGCAATGGCCAGTGTGCTGCATGTGTAATGTGTCGATAAGAGAACTTCACGGGTAATATTTTCCTCACCTTTCCTTACATTAATTTCCCATGGGGCTGTGTGCATCCCATTCCCAATCAGTTGAACTCAACCGTCACCCACTCCTCATTTTTCCAACACTGCAGTGCTAAATTATTGAAAGGCTTCGTAAAAGTCTGCACCTAAACTTACCCATTGTCTTTGATTATTGTCGACAGCTGCGCGAATAGGGCTTATGATTAATATGGGAGCAGGCAGCAACATGTATTTCTTACAACCTCTCTGCGGCCTCCTGCAAACGTCCCACTCCTACCCCGCCCATACTCTAAATTTTCCCAAGAACAGTATCCAACCCGACCCGTTACCCTTTCCATACGGTTGCCCATGGGTTTGCCCAACCCGCGAGTTCCTGTGGTCTCGACCCCGCTGTCCCATGACATCAGGTAAGTCGTAACAGGCACCAGAAATCATAATACGGCTGAATTCTTAGTAAAACGAGCAATCAGTTCCTGATGTCATTGATTTTGTACTGTTTGGACCAATCCAAAAGTTGTTCCCGTCACATCTACCTATTCCCGGTAGCTGCAATTTACGTGGACGCGTTTTATTGGTGCGTCCGCGCTAACCGAGCTCAAAAAGCTGTTTTGATCATAGTAGCTGTGCTTCGCCTGGCGGATGTTGCCGAATGACGGTAAGAACATCCAAAACAAGTTTCGCTTTGAACTCTGTGCATTCCAAAAGTGTCATAAATAAATTCAGCTGCGCATGTTTAGTTATTTCCCAATGCCCTTCCGTCGTGTTCATGCCGAAGAGAGCAATCTCCGCCTGGTTTCGCTGCAAAAGATATGGTCCTTTTGGCCCCTCATTGAGCTGAAGAGCTGCGAAACAAAGACTCGTTGCTTATGATGAGAAGAAGCCAGCGTAGTTTGCTTCCAACGATAGTTTGCAAACACATCTGAGCGTAACGTTACGCTTTTCAATCCTTCTACCCTCGTTACACCTCGGCTCCGTTCTATCAAACCTCCTCTCTTCCATGCGTAACGTGATATAAACACGGCCCTAAACCGTCCATGATTCCAAATTGATTGCGATGCTGCACGGGCGTGTTTGAGCACTCGTCGGCGAGTAACGCTGCCGGCGTACATTTTGCGGTAATGTTTTTTCCGGCTTTCCAAAGCCTGGGCCGTTCTGGTGGTGGTGAGTGACAGCATAGCGGGTTCAGAAACCGCGGCCGCGGCGAGCAAAATGTGCACAACCGACGTTACAGCAAGCTTACTGACGATGTGGCGATGCACGAGTTAAGGTCGTCGACGCCACGTGCAGACAAAACGGAGCCATCGGAGGCTGGCAGGTGGAGTGCTACATTCGGATAGCCTCAGATCCGCGTCTGATCCAAGGCCGTCTGGTGCCCGCAGTTGCTGACCTTGCATCCGGGAATCACAAGGGACGTCCGGCCCGAATGCAGAAAACAACTTGGGTAAAACTTGAGGCGCACATTGCATCCGTGCCAAAAATGTGCTCAGAGTTGTCCACTTCGAAGGGGCTTAGTGGCTATACCTAAGCGGCACAATTATTGCGGTTCATGGTCTATGTAACTTAAACCCAGCTTGACACGCTTTCGTCACTTTTTCTGTCATACATAAGAATCCCAGGTTTTCCAAGTTGAGAAACAGAGTATGCACACTGGTGTATTCAATAAATGCTTAACCGTGACCAAATCATGGCGAGCGATGTACCTGGACGCGCAGACACCAGTTTAACAGCTAGCATTACTTTAGAATGCGTGCCGTTTGATCAAATGTGGAAATAACAAAACATGTCTGCCCATCTCCGGCATCTCTGCATCAGTTAGGACAGCAATATAGGGTACATATCCACCTTTGCAGCGTAAATGCAGCGTATGTGGTGCAGCGTAAACGTACATCATGTGGCGGAAACAATGTTCGCTAGGACAGCGATGATCACCGACAGTTTCACACAATTTGCCCATACCGTTCATCCTAGTATAGACATAGAATGATCTATTCATGATGCGACTCTAATTGCAAGAATCCCGTGATAATGCCACCTAGCCGTTCAACAAAAGTTGTTGCTCGCGCCGCACGTCCCCCTTCGGATGCGCAGCCGAGACAACGCCAAAACACACGTGCACGACGACGGCATGGGAAACAGGAATGTGCCAGAAGCACGTCGTCAAAGCACAGGTCGGCGATAGTCGATATCAGAAGCACAACCTGTGGACTTCCCAAGCCGGTGCGGTAGTCGGTGCGGCGCGCTTGCCGCATACCGCCCCCGACGCTCGCTGACACTCCAGTGCCGTCGACCACACGCACGTCCACCCGCGAGCTCTCGCCTCGTCTCGGCCGCCGAAGTGGCGGCGGTCGTCAGCCCGCCCCGGCCCGGCGCCAGCGGCGGAGCACCCGCAGCCTCTACCCCGCCGGCCGTGCGCATCAGTCGCCCTTGACGTGCGTGCCGTTGGCGGCCGGCTGGGCGGCCTCCTTCTGGCCGTGCGCGTCGGTCGCGCAGCCGCCGGCCGCCTCGCTCCTGCTGCTGAACGGACACTTGAGTCCGTCCGCGGCCGGCGCCGGCCCGGCAGCGCTCGGCTCGACGGCCCCCCACGGGTTCCAGAAGCGCAGCATCAGCGGCTGCAGGAACCGGTGCCACAGGTACAGCACCACTGGCACCACGATGCACGAGATGCACACCATTCTGCAACCACCTGCAGTAAACGGGAAGGGAGACTGGTGAGTGATTCCGGGGTTTATGCAGCCGAGGTGGCGGTATGATTAGGATGAAGTCTGACGCTGAAATCATGCAGCTCTTTCAAGACGATTTATTTAGAGGTGAACGAACGGTCCCAATTTTCGAAGGAAGTGTGAACGCAAAATGAAACAAAATGTGTACCCAATTTTTTAAAATATACTCACATCGCTACTGCAAAGTTTAACGCATGCCCGGGTGGCCGGTTAAATACCCTTCGCTCGGGTGGGAGGGGGGTCAATTTGACCTCTCGCCCAGAGTCCTCAACAACAAACAAGGCTAGAAACACAAAATTCACAGGGAATCGGCCGGTACGTGAACTCACTTGTGTCAAATATTGAAACTCATAGGCCATGACCTTCAGTCAAAAAGGTCAAACCAAGTCAAACTCCAGATTGGTGTCCAAAGTGGCCCCATACCTCATGCAACCGCGGTGAACCTAGATGCTTATTCTTAGCAAAAACCCACTGGTACTCATTCAAGGTGAGTGACCTTGTTTGACTTTTAGGAAGTCATGGTGACTAAAGTTATACAAGACTGCCTGGACTTTTGACTTTGAATATGCACCAATGGTTATGCTGTTCAGAACGTTTCTAAAAACAAATTGTTGACCTGGGTCATTTCACGTCAGTTATCTATTCTGACCTTTAACAAGTCAATGGAAGGTCATCACGCGGTCACTGTTACTAATAAATTCGAAATGGTCACCAGAAACTACCCAATCAAGCAAGCTCTCGAGTAAAAACAGGTTAGTTTTGACCGCGGTCTGACCTTCGTACCAGAACATTGGCCGATGGAACTTGTTCATTCAATTGCCTTTCCTGAGAAACCAGTTCGGATATGCATGGTTTCATCTAATATTTCTTTGTCGCAGCAGTTCCTTAGAAATTACTTCCGTTAATTCCATGGCCTGACTTTGACCTGCCATAGGTCAGCTATCTTCCAAGATGCATACATATTTGTGATACTGAAAGATGCGCTATCCAATTGTCTATAGCTTTGCGAAATTTGGCGCGACTGCGTCCAACCGTTCGGAAATCATTTTGGAACAACTTTCGGAGGAGAGAAGGGGGTTGGGGGCATATTGACCCCCACCCAAGCGCGTGTTAATAACAAGGTATTAAGTCTTCACCATTCCACTGTGATGATTGTAGACTTCACGACCCTGTGACTAAAATCTGAACTAAGAGATATACAAAAATAAATCGACGAGGTAATAAATAACAAACACAACTTAGCATCACACATACATTACACAAACACACATAACTGTCCCGTTTTTAGTCCGCTAACGTAATCTCTTGCTGTGAAATAAGTATTCCCGGTATGTGTTTAGGCTTTAAGCCTTATGTTGCACAACCTCTACCATACTTAGTTGTACAACACCATGAGATCAAGGAAACCACATGAGCTGGAAATATGGCCAGGTGCAATTGTAGGTCAGATGAAAGGACACAGCCAGAGTTTTGCAAGCGGGCACCATGATTAATGAAGAACCCCCTTTGGTACAGAGCCCTCCCAACGACAAAACACGGGCTTTGACCGTTGCAATTCGACGAGGCCGAGTTTTTTCCAGCTTTGCTTTTTCCTTCTTGAACTGAAACATAAGCCAACAGAAGATGTCATTTGGCTGCATTTCAACGTCCTAAAGTGAAGGAGCCAGGTACGCAACGGCCGCATGGAGTAAGCCACCAGTGTTACTCACTTTTAAATGGTTCAGTCGGCCGCCTCTAAGCCTACAACAGTTGGGGACGTTACCAGAGTTTTTCGGCGTTATCCAGGCATATTAGGCGGGGGGGGGGGGGGGGGATTTGAACACCATCGCAGGTCAAAACATGGCGGAACGAAACTGTTATTGATAAAGTCATCTAACGTTCTACTCGGTATTCGTCCTCTCCTCTTTATCGACTGCAGCAGAAATGTATCATTTCATTCTGAGCATGCCCGCACCGAAGTCCGTTAGAGCCAACACACATATGTCCATCGTTACATTTTCCGCAGGCCGTGCCGTGTCGAGCCCGAAACTAACACCAGCCGGCGGTCGCTGGGCGGGCAAAAACGGCCGCGTGTCGGAAAGCGGTGCCTTCTAGGGCTCTGTGAAATCAATTCGTACGTGTGGAGGATAGTCCGGGCTTTAAATTTAGCCCGTGTAGTCTTCAACTTAATACTTAGAACGGCTTACATTTACAGACGCAAGAAACCTTGAGGTAATGGTGGAATCTTCAATGCTGCGTGTTGCTGAAACTGCTAAGCCGTCCAGAGAATGAACCTCAACTTTGACAGGTGAAAAGTGCGACCCAGTCTAACCTTTAAATACTGCCAATCGATTTTCAAAAGCCAAGGTTTTTGCGGCTGGTCGGTTTTAGGTCGGCGGCTGGCCGGCCCGGGACCGATGGTGAGTCAACTAGGGTTTTGTTATAAGCTGCTGGCAAATGACGAATGCGGGACTCTACAATTGGCTATAATTTTGGGTACTGGAAGGCAACTCTATTCCCACCGTTTTTCAAAATCGTTCCATCCATTTAGACACACACCGAAATCCAAACGAAATTCGAAATTTCAAGCCCTTGGTAAATTTTCCAATGTCTACCGGCCCACGAGAAATATCTCCAGCCGTTGCAGATACCGCAGTAGCCAGAGAGCTGCCTGGGTGACATGTCGCTGTCCCAGCAGTTAGCACATGCTGGAAAAATGACCATCAGAAAGCGTAACAACTGACTTATCCGTAAAACATGTGCATGCGCATACGTGTTTCCATCACACCGAATAAAATACGAGATTTAAAAACGTACGATATAAAACAGATGCAATACACATAGCGCCTGAAGGCATTGATGACCGTGGTCGAATGGTTAAAGGAGTAGATTTATGCATCTAAAACTTATGGTTCGGGTTCATGCGCTTGTATTTCTTTTTATCATCTTCCCAACCATCCCGAGGTCGCCTGGCCGGGTCGGCTAGCCGAAAACTAACCTTGAGAAGGGTTTGGAGGCATTGATTTCCCGCACGTGATCGTTCCCGCACACCCGCCACCCGCCGCCTGATATTAGCTACCGAGGTCGACGCAGCTCGGTGCGACGGCGACAAACAACGTCGGGTATTGGTGTTTTTACTCTAGAAATTCGAGCGGGCATGTTCAAAACTATGTCATATAATTGCATCACTCATCTAATCTGAGAAAGGATGGACACTCTCAGGCCAACAGATGCTGCCATGTCAAGCAAATTCTGATCCCATTGATACATCTACCCTTTTGAATCTCGAGGAGATCCGTTATATTTCCAAGACAGGGAGCTCCATGAGCAGAACCCCAAAAAGTATGGTGGCTGAGGTACCTTTTTTGGCCAACAACTGAAGGGCCGTTTTGTCCCACCCATGGGGTTTCAACCAGCTACTGTTCCTGCGACATGGGGCCCGGTGTCGATCTGGAGGCCATCAGATCAATACATCATACATCATTCCCTTGGATTGGAACTGTACTGTACTTCGACTGAACTGCACTTCCCTGATTTGGAAGTACAACATATATTGTCACAGAGTCCTCAGTTCAGCTTATTGGGCCTGAAGCTGACATCGCACAGACAGCACCAATTGAGACTGGGGCCACTGGCTGACGCACACCCTATGCATTGCCCCACTGAAGGCCCTTGCATTGTTTTTCTTTCTTTTCACATCTCCTTTCATTGTCGATCTGCTCCAGCTATGGATGAAGTAACCATGTCACTGAGTTTGGGGGGATTCAGGATTTGAGGGGTCAAAATGGAATTTGGAGACATAGCCTAGCAAAAAGATGGTCTTTTTAACAAAACAAAATGTAAGGAAACATGCATTCTAAGGGCATAATTTGATAGGCCAAAGCCCATTTTGTGAAAATTGGGTGACATGTCTTCCCAGCATCCCAATGGTCATACCCATGGCTTTCCCCAGGTCCCAGGACTCAAGTCCTCTTATTGACACAGAGCCCCTGCTAACAACTGTAGGTCCCTGACTGACACAGGGACCCTTCATTGCCTCACAGATCCCAACAAGTGCCAGAGGCATTCAGTGACAGTGATGCACTCCAGCCTCATTTCTGTTTGGGAAATGGATTCCAAGATAATTTTAAAGAGCCCCCCCCCCCCCCCCCAAGGGCACAAGAGACCCTCTGACACTGAGCCCAACCACACAGGCCAGACCCATTAGCATTCCCTACAGGCACTCATTCATCCTCTTGATCACCAGCCCCAAGTTGCTTCAGGAATGGGAGAGGGGAGAGGGGAGGGGCATGATCCTCCAACACTTCTTACATGTGCTCCTGGTCAGGCATACAACCCACAAACACATGTGGGCATGTGGTATGAGCCTATATGTAGGGATGAATTTACTTTTCTTTAAATCCACTTTATTCCAGATGTGTTTCATGCCAAGGATCAAACCTACATAAATTAGTGTCTAGTACATCAAGAGGGTTTCAGCACTGTGGTTAAGCATCCCAACCTTATCTTTGTGAAAAACATGTTCTTTTGAATTAACTGTATGTGCAAAGGTGCCTCTTATCTCAAAATCAAATAAAAAACACCAGTGTCTTAAGGCTTCAGAAGATTTAAGCACTGTGGTTCAGATTCCAATGCTTGGTTCAATGGCCAAACATTTGACTTGTGATTTATTTTAAGAAGATCTAGCCCATACATAATGCAACTACACAAACACCTTCCCTGAAACCACCTTAAAAATAAAATTACCTGATTATCAAGCTGTCACAAAACAACTGTCATGGACAGCATCATAAAGGAAGCACCAAGAACACAGACTTCCTGCAAGTTTTTAATGATGACGATAAACATGTACACACAGAACAGTGCTAGCAATGAATATTCAAGGCAGATATGGAAGTATGAGGTGAATAAAAACATATGTCTTTTAAACAGCATGCACTAAGTGTATGCCTACAGGGTGTCACGACATCAAGTAAACACTTGGGTAGTGTTCCAACGTGAAGTCCTGCATATGTCGTTGAACTTTGTGATGACTTGCCCCGATAATAAAGCAAACTGCAAGCACATAAAGGATGATTTTCCAAAATGACGCCGCTAAGACAAACACACCAGGAGACCATCACCAAAACCACGCTTTGCTCTGCGGCAACCCAAAATTTTCACGACTCACCAGTTGAAAAAGCATGCGTTTAATCCAATACTCACACTCCCCACGCGCTTGGTAAATATCGAATGTTGAAATAATACTCACGTGACGACCTCACACGAACAGCCAACCAGCCACAGTTCGCAAGGATCCGGTATTTAACTGGTAGCATTTGTACCGGGAAAGGTCAACATGACGTCGTGGGTTCAAGGAAGCACGTCGAGGGATTCGAGGTATCGAGTGAGAGAGATTTCTTACCGCACTTCATTTGATGCTCGCAATACTCATGTTTCAGTCCGTCTCAGTTCATGTGAAACTGATGAGGATTGTGCTCTATATCACCTCATACTTTAACATGATAAGCTCACAAATTCGATCTAGTTCAGTATGCGTACGGAATACCAAAGTATAATTGGAGTTTATATATATATACATATATATATATATATATATATATATATATATATATATATATATACATATACACATTAACACATATTTATGAATGAAAGTCATGTAAGGAGCCACATCAAAGTTAATTGAGACTAGAACACTTTTCTCATAGCACCATTCAACAATGTTCTCTGCGGTCACTTAACCATGCAATCGAGCCTTTCTCAACTTTTCTAATGTGAAAATGCTCATAGAACTTGAGGCTTTACCATGGACTAATAAACCAGTGAATACACCTGTTAGCTATACCATTGGCTACCCACGACGTACGTGGTCCATGGTTATCTTAACTGGCCAGGTCGTATAGCCGGCTGCAGTATCCTGCAACTTCATGAAAACGGATAGGCATTTTAGTATCCCATTTAAACCACTGTTTTCATAGCCAGAAATTATTCACGACAACGGCTTAATGCTTGCACTTCTAGGAACACCGGAATAGGCTGTAACTGAGTGTTATCACAAGTTTTTAGTGTTTCTGGGTTTATATTTAATTTTTGGTCATTATACTGACCTCCTTTTATTAAGGCAGCCTTGGTAGGGGAACCGATGTATTGGGGGTGGACTGAATCTGACTGTTACCAATGCTCTAGAACTGGGATTGTGGTCGTCGTTGTGCTAGGCCGTGGACCGATGATACCGCCCTGGTTAACCGGAAGTATCTGTTGGCGGTTGGCAGACATAGTCAGAAATGGGCAGTGAATTTGTAACAGAAGTGCCCAGCTCTCTAAAACAGCTAGCTCGTCTAGTTGTGAGGGGTTTCTACAAGATTGAAGATGCCCTCATTATTGATATGCTTGTCAGGAACCCCTGTAAGTCATTTAATTTCAGTATGATCAGCCTGCAGGGAGATGAATTAGATGCATGTTGTATTGCAGTGTGTTATTCTTGTGTGTTGCGAAACAAAATGTGTAGCAAAATTTTGAGGAAAATCACTTAATGTTATACCCTAATGAAGAGTGCTCTATGCATTTAGTGCACATAATGCTTCATGCATGACATAATGACCGTGTTGATGTTGTCGCATGATGCTCTGCCTATGATATGGTGCTATGCTTATAATACATTTCACTGCTTTCTTCCCACACAGTACATATGGTGTTTTTCTAAGACACTGAGTGCTTACTGTGACTCAAATTGACCCCACTACCCACCAGTGGGTGACTTTGAAGGCAGGCACCCAAGCCAACAGAGCTGCTGATGTGGATGGTTAGACATCAATAGATGTGCTCAAAATGATGATGATGTGATGTGCTCACTTTATTCAATGCTATTTGTTTTACTGACAGGATCTATTTTTTGCAATATGGTCTTGCTAAAATTTTAAGCCACCTTTTAAAGCACAACAATGCATATGCATATACAAGAAATGTGCACCAAGGCCAAAATTGTCCAAATGTATGATAATTGAGATGGGGTTTGGAGCCATCATTTTCATAAATTGGACAAATTAATTATTATTCTTATGATGCTACACCATAGGACATGGTTGAAAAAGACTTGCAAAGCACTCCTGCTGCCCCCCCCTCCCCTCCCCAACTTACATAACAGTTCCTGTGCTTCTGCATTCCACTGCATTCATCTGATGGTGTGTTTGCAATTCAACAGGCAGTTAAGTGTAATCAGATGAGGCAATCCAGGATGAGCCAACAGGTGGTGGCCTAGATGTGGGCTGTAGGAAAAGATTGGCAAGGGCAAGGAAAAGGAAGCAGGATGTGTAGTTATGTTTGGACCATCCTGCGGCCAGGCACAGGCAATGATGAGAAAAGATAGTGTGGCAAAGCCATGAGGATTGACAATGTATGCAGGAAGTTGATCAAGGTTCCAAGGGTATAGCACTGCTGGCAGAAAGAGCAGAGTAGACATTTGCCCCAGTTTTCCTCAATCAGGATTTTGTTCTTTCTAATTTTGGTCATACAACATACTTTTGTTCATGCTTTCTCCTTCAAAATACTATTTGCAGGTTGGGTTGTGTCCCAGACCCAAGATTCTAGTTTTGCCCCAGCCTCATTCTGATTGCCCTTGGCATCAGACATGGTTGGGTTTCAGTAACCAGCTGGCATTTCCCATTCCTGCCAGGGTGGGATGCAGGGGATGTCATATAGCCTCAACAGCTGAGTGTGTCCTGAACCCCTAACAACACATGGACACCCATGAAGCCTGCCCCCATTGCAATGGTAGTTGGTGTGACTGCTGCCACCCTTGTTATGCCACATTGTTCTCACATGGCTGCATTTGAAGTTAGGCATAGTTAAAATGGGAGAAATGTAGTGTGGTTGGTATAATAAGCTGGAAAAATGGCAGTATGGATCAAAAAGGAAAACAACATGTTGTGATTTGCTATCTGATATAGGCTGCTGTAGGGCCAGGCCAGAATGTTCCACAATGAAATGTTGTGTGTGCATTGCATATGGCATGCATGGTAAACCCATTTGTATGCTACATATGAATTGTGCCCATGAGACAGGTTCTTTTGTATGGCAACCAGGAAGTTGGATAAAGACTGTCTCAAAAAGATATATTTCATTGTGGCATCCATGTCACAGCATTGATGGGCAGGGGTGCTCCTAGTGACCAAATTCTTTATTTCAGGCATGAAGGAAGATGATATTTGTGAGCTCCTCAAGTTTGAGCGAAAAATGTTGAGGGCAAGGATCGATACATTGAAGAATGACAAATTTATCCAGACAAAGATGAAGATGGAGACTGGGCCAGATGGAAAAGCACAAAGACAAAACTACTACTACATTAACTACAAGGTGAAAATTTTTCCTTGTGGTGGTAAGAATCAGGGTAAGGTTGCAGCCTGTTGGCATGTCATTGCTTGTACCCATGCTAAGAGAGATGCAAACATGTGATGAGAGCAACTTTTGATCTAATTATCGGAAGTGAAAAATAACCCTTGCCTTATGATGACGTCATTCAACATCATGTCTGTATGTGTCAATAGCAGCATTGGCATTTAATTCAGTCTATTGCAACTTTTACTGATGTATCATATATTCATTAGTGTCATGAAATGGCAATGCCACCGCTGTCATTTAGACTGCTGTGTTTGAGATTTTTTCTCTTTCCAGGTGTTTGTGAATGTTGTCAAGTATAAGTTAGACCACATGCGCCGAAAAATGGAAACAGAGGAGAGGAATGCAACAAGCCGTTCAAGTTTCAAATGTCCAAACTGTCTCAAAACATACACAGACCTGCAGGTAAGCATATTTGAGTATTTGCTTCTTTCATATGTTAAAAAAGCTGCTGTAGTGACACGAGGTAAGATAAGGCAAACTCTGTCGTCCCTGTCCCCATGTGAATCGGAAGAGCGCCGAACACCTGACCGCTATATGGCATACAGCAGGGCACCAAACACCTGACCACTATATGGCAGACAGCAATGCGCCGAACACCTGACCGCTACTTGGCAGACAGCAGAGCGCCGAACACCTGACCGCTACCCGAACACCTGACCGCTATACGGCAGACAGCAGGGCACCGAACACCTGACCACTATATGGCAGACAGCAATGCGCCGAACACCTGACCGCTATACGGCAGACAGCAGGGCACCGAACACCTGACCACTATATGGCAGACAGCAATGCGCCGAACACCTGACCGCCACCCGGCAGACAGCAGGGCGCCTTTCCCGGAAGCAGCGCATAGGCGTGACCAATGCATTAGGTGTCTTTTAATGCATTTTGTTAAAATATATCATGCAATATGCCATTCCTAACACTTAGCCTACAGCGCCCAACTCAGAAAGAAGTAACATTTGTTCGGGCGCTGCCTTCCTCAGTTACTTTTAGGTCATTGTACATTATTGTATCAGACATGGGCTGGTTATGACGAACGTCTGCTTATTTTTCGGAAGGGTCCTTTGTTTTGTCACACCTACCGCAAGAGAAATGAATACAACAATTCACTTTGGGTGGGCGCGGATGGGGGGGGGGGGGGGGGGGGGAGGGAGCGATCGCGGTGGGCGGCTGAAAACCGCAAAGCCTGTCTTGACAAAAAAGGTTACGTGACACGCGATGTGGGGCTGCTGAAAAAGTACGTATGCTTCATAGCCAGCCATTTTTAAGCTTCCATGATGCAAGTTCCTTTCGCTCGCGATTCCCTTAAGTTCTGTTAAGAATTCCGTTAATTTCGTTGAAGGCTGCCCGTCCTGTGAGGCTGACCCCAGTCTTTTCTTGTCCCTCATTTTGATTTTGGGAATATTGCTGGAATTTAACGCGAGGTACGAGCTCAATACGATCATCCGAGATGTCTAGACCTGCTCGGCCAAATTTATCGTCTACAGACTAATTGACTACCGGAACGTTAACTCATTGGCAGAAGCTGATTAAATTGTGATAATGAGACAATCGCGATCGTGGAAAGTCAGACAAAGATGGCTTTCGCAGTGTCGCGTGTTGATTTGACATAGACACAACGCCACCGAAGGACATACATTTAGCCATTTCATACAGCGCTATACGGTGCACACAAGCCGTCTTTTAACGTTGTTAGAAACAAGAATATACAATTTAGACAAATGCTATCTCTAGTTGGCTTGTCGCCTACCCATTAGCCCGAGCTGGGCGTCAGTGAGCCACCCTGTCTCACAGGCGGACCAGCTGTTCGATCTTACGACGGGCGAGTTTCTCTGCACCTTCTGCTCGACGCCGGTGGAGGAGGACGAGGCGGCCATGCCGCGCCAGGACTCCCGCATGATGCTCGCCAGGTTCAACGAGGTCATGGAGCAGCTGTTCGTCCTGCTGCGGGAAGTGGAAGGTCAGTGCGCGGCGGGACGACGAGAGCCGGCACCGGCTTCGAGACGGCCGCTGTTAGTGGGCCTTGTCAGACAGTTGCGACCCTCGCTTTGGGGACGGTGAACTCTGACATGACGTGGAAAAAACGGTTTTTGTCGGCGAATACACTCAAGCGGTCTGAAATTTCTTCGGTTACCTTTTCAAGTCATTGCACTGTTTTCGCATCGCACAAGACCGCAAGAAGTGTTTCTTCCCCCTGGTGCCTCAAGCCATGGCTTCAGCCGCTTACTGTTCATCTTAGCCTTTCCATAAGAGCCTCTTCACAACTCTTGTTCATAAATTACGGCTGTTGAGCTCTGTATTTCGCTGCCCATAGAAGTGTCTGTGAGATTTAAAACCAAAACAGCTTCCCTGCTCAGCAGATTCCGGAATTATATTTAGTTGTGTCGTGATGAAAAACCACGTTCAAAGCTGACAAGGAGGGCCTAAGTCCCGTGAGTCCCCCCCCCCCCCCCCCCCTCCCCTTCTCCTTGGCTGTGCCACTGCCTCCGCAATGCATTCGTTTATTTTTAAATGATAGTTTTCACCACATTTCCCCGGACGTCTCAGTTCACACCGCGTTCTGCCCACCACGTGTGCCTCTGACCTGGCGCGCCCGCCCCCGCCCCCGCTGTTGGCCGGCCGGCCGGTTCTCTCGTCACCGGTCGCGCTCCGGTTCCGACAGGCATCAAGCTGGCGCCGGAGATCCTGGAGCCGGAGCCGGTCGACATCCAGGACATCCTGCACCGCGACGACCGCAAGAAGGCGCGCCGCGACACGGCCGGCGGCGACGGCGTCTGGTCGGGCGAGGCCACGCGCAACGCCGGCTTCAACGTGAGCCGCGGCCGGCCCGGCGGCCCTCCCCCCTCGCCGACCCCCGGCCAGGCGGCCCCGCGCCGCCCGGGGTCGGCCCCGTGGTGTGGGGGTGGTGGGGGACGAGGGTGGTGGGGTCATGGCTGCGTCTGACGAACGAGGAGACTGGTGGGATTGTTGACGTCCGGTTGGAGGGGATTTAACTAAGCTCTTTGTCGTGCGCTTTGTCGCGGCGGTTTCAGGCTGTGCATTGTGCTACTTCTTGTTTTGTCACTGCTCTCAGAATCGCATTGAAGTCATTGGCAGTGGTATGGAGCCGATTACACTTTTGGCGGCTGGAGACTCCTGTCTCTCGCGGCTTAGGCATCAACTGGTTTTGGGATGCAGTTACCTTGCAAGGACGCCTCATTCCGAATTAAATCGTCAGAAGGTCGATATATGGGCATGCTGGTGTTCTGTTGCAGTGTGGGCGAGAAGGCCCCAGTTTGAGGTTTAACGTCAGGTCTGTGGGCGTGGCCTGTAAAATACATTCAAGGTGTTGTTTGTGATTGTGATGTTTCCCTCCCCAAACCTTGTTCACAAATGGGTCCGGTGTGTACACATGCCCTGCAACCGTCGCCTGCTTCCCTTTCTACCATCACCTTTCCCGTCTCCTGTAGGCCTCGTCCGCCGTCCCTCCCACAGCATCTCCCGCCGTGTGGTGGTTCCATCTCCCTGCACTGCTGCCCCACATCGCCACCGCCCTGAACCCCGCTGACACTTCGTCACACCACCACCGGCAGGACGAGACCACGGTCAACATCAACATGGAGGAGGAGGGCGCGGCGGCACCGGAGGCGACGCGCAAGGAGCGGCCCGTCTGGATGATGGAGAGCACGGTCATCACGGAGGACGCGGACGCCGACGGCGCGGCCGCCTCCGACGCGGCCGACGCCGGCGAAGAGCGCGGCCGCGACGACATCATGTCCGTGCTGCTGCAGCACGAGAAGCGGGAGAGCAAGCGGCCCGTCATCCCGGGCCAGGAGAGCAGCGACGACAGCGAGCCGGAGATTATCGGCCACACCACCTCAAAACGTGAGTCCCGACGGCGGCGGGCTGGGGGGGGGGGGGGGGGGGGGAGGGGGGGGCAGCGCGCTCGGGCAAGAGATGCGCTTTGGTGGGTGCTGGTGGCTGGGCCTTTGTGCGGCTTTGCTATGCGTTGCGAAACGGGCCTCGGCAGTGAACGGCGTGGTGACGTCATTGGTGGTGGAGATTGGGGTCAGGCCTAAGACCCGACCTCGCGCTGGCCTGTGGAATCTTGTCTAGTCGCTCAGGCGTGGCGGCCCTTCGAAACGGGGTCGTACGGCTGCCTGTGCTGTGCCCAGTCATGATCGTGCTTGAGGCTGGCTCCCGATCCGCGATCCGCGTGGCCCGACCCACCCGAACCTGTGTTTGTGCCGACGGCCGTTCTCCCGTCCGAGTTGGTATCGAGACCGGTCTCAGACGCGTGCTCCTCGCTGTCGATGGACCAGACCCGTGACCGCCGCTCGCTCCGCCCTCAGCCATCGACGTCAGCGACGACCTGGAGTTCATGGACTCGGACGACGACGAGGCCACGCCCACCGTACAGGTCGGCACCGAACGCATCCCCATCGCTGACGTCGGCGATGACGTCATCGCGCGCATGACGGCCGACGAGAAGGAGGCGTACATCCTGGCGTACCAGGAGTACTATTCGCACATTCACGAGTAGGGTGGGCGCGCGGCCATACAACGGAGTCGAGTCGTGTTGCAGGCGCGGGCAAGTGATAGCATGATCATCCCAGTGTCATTTTGTGTTGCGAGACCGAGAACTGTGCGGCCCGTGTTAGCAGATTTGAGGTGATGATGTGAACTGTGCAAAGCAGCAACGCTGTGTTGACAACGCGGCGCGCCGGTGCGCTAAGGTGGCCGCTTCAGGTTGTTCGGCGCTGCACGTGCTTGTAGTGTCGGATACGGAGCCAGTATCGTGTGTTGTACCGGTCGCATGCTGTGACGGCCTGTTGTTCAGTGGTGTTTTACGTGCGGACGGCGTGCGGCCACGTAATCATCGCGTTAGTGCTACAGCGGGACTGATCATGGCTTTCGGTCGGGGAAAGTGATGAATCAAGACGCGGCACGTGCATTAATATGAATACACCATGTTCTCGCAAACTTTTTTGGATCGTTCATCCGAGCCGGCTGGACAGTGAGGCGCCGGCGGGTACTTGTCAGAAGAGGCCGGGTCCGGTGAGCCTCCGGGTGACGGGTATTGGAGCAGCAGTCCCATGCCGGTCACTGAGAGTGCTGGTCCTCAGCTGCCGGGGCTGAGACTGGCCGAGGAGTGACGGCACGCTCACGCGGCGGGACGTGTCGGTGAAACGCTTTGGGACACTGATGGGGCTGCTTATTTGGCCGTCTAATGTTTACTCTGCATAATGAGTTCCGTTGCGGTCTTAACTGACGCGTCAAAGGCGGGCATTGTTTGTGTCCCGTGTCCAAACAGCTTTTGCACCACCTTGTACAATTGCGTGAAGTTCCAGACGCAGTAACAACAAAGAAAAATGCGTGCAGTGTGAAAAGGCTTATTGCTTAAGATTGTGGGGTCTAATCGTTATGCGGGGGAGTGGCGTGGCATTGGTTCTGTTGTCCGTTGGGTGGCACAGGATTTCCCGGGTTTGTTCCATCGTCGTTCCCACTGCAGGTGCATGAGAAGAGTTCAATCGCAGGTTTTATTACATTCCAGACGAAGACGAATAAACGGAACTCAAACAACACATCCACATTAATCAACACTGGTCACCGCGCAATTCAAGTGCTGCATAGGGTTGTAGCCTCTACGAACAGCGACACAACCGCATCTGCATGTGCCCCTTGAGCAATGTTCAGCCCATCCTGCACGATTTTTGCGTGTACACAACTAAAACATCGCGCACATCGCACACAGTGTTCTGAGTGACAGTCCGGCGGCTGGTCACTGCAGTGCAGTATCCCACCCGTATTGAACGGACACAGCCCGACAATGCAACGCCCCTCGGGACGCCCCCAACGCCCAGCGCCCCTTCAGTGGTCTCCATGCCGCTCGTACCACCCGAGTCCTTTTTGTTGCACCGCCCAGAGGCCGCAGCGGCTTGTCTGCTATGGACACCACCCAGTAATCAGTGCATATTGCATCTTGCGCAATGCCCAGACTGCTGAGGTAAACAGCAGCAGCTGTGTTCGGCTGAGCGGATAGTGCTGAAGCGGGCGTTGCCACTGGAACGCCGCCGCAGCAGCAGCTGTGTTCGGCTTCAGTGGACGGTGGTGGAGCGGGGCCGTGCCACTGAAGGGCGGCAGCCACAGCAGCACCAGCTGTGTCCGGCTTCAGTGGACGGTGCTGGAGCGGGCCGTGCCACTGAAGGGCGGCAGCAGCAGCTGTGTCCGGCTTCAGTGGACGGTGCTGGAGCGGGCCGTGCCACTGAAGGGCGGTAGCCGCGGCAGCAGGCCGTCCCGCTCTCCGATGCAAGCCACCACAGGCACCTGGACCAGGTCCAGGCCGCCGTCGATGACCACGTCCAGACGGAAGTAGACGGAGCGACCCACCATCGTGTCCCCGGGCTGGTGGCACACGCGGGCGAGAGGTTTCAGGCTACGATACCGGGGAGATACACAGATGACCTCACCCGATGACGGTCTGGCTTCGACCGCAGTCAGCTTTGCCTTGGTCGCGCTGCACCGCCGGATCGGGATGGAGGACGTGACAGGCAGAGGTGTGAGAGCCTCCTGTCCCTGGGGTATGGCTGGGCGAAGAGGCACGTGTTCAGTCCGCTCCTTTTGCGCGACACTCTTGATGTACAGGACACTAACGAAATAACGATGTAGGGCGTGGGTTAATACCCAGTGCATCCAGCCGTATCTTACCTTCGTCCTGAGTCTTAGGTAGATAGCATATACCACTACCGATGTGCGAGCTGGGCTGTGATTAAGATTGTCGTTAAAAGCGAAGATCACAGAAGCCCGTCTTTGGTGATAATCAACGGCACTGGCAAAAGTCTCTCTGGGATGCCTGGTACTCAACTTGGAACTTTACGACATAGTGGCCTGCATGAGCGCAAGTGAGCTCGTCATACGAACTGTACCAGCACTGTGTCTATAAAAGTTTGATCAGTTGTCCAAAAACAACAGTGAATTCCCCTGGTGTAAGAAAGGGATCAAGCCAGTCATGCTTATACAGTAGCAGCGAGTCCTTGGCGATCATCACACCCACATCACAGCGAGTTCAGCGGCTGGCTCAGCCTTCAGCTCACCTCAAAGCTGACCAGCAGTGGGACGGCCTGGCCGGCGGGCAGCTTGCCGGCGCGCGGTCGCACGCGCAGCCCCGTCAGCGGCGGCGGCGGCCGCAGCCGGTACACCACGTCGGCCGCTCCTGCGTTCTCCAGCAGCAGGCGGCCGGCGCCGGCGTCCCCGCGGCGCACCGACCCCAGGTCGAGCACGCCCGGCCGGCAGCGCACGGCGCCCGGCGGCAACGGTCGCGGCGCGCCGGCCAGCAGCATCTGGCGCTCGGAGACGAGCGGGCGCCAGCGGGGCGCCAGCGGCGGCCGCGGAGCCTGGCGCACCTGACCGAGGAACTCGCCGCCCGCCTCCGACAGAAAGTACGGCGGGAAACGCTGCGGGCGCACGCGCGCCATGACGTTAGCTGCTGCAGCGCAGGGGCGTAGCCAAGGCGGGGAATGTTTTTGCACGTTTTGACAGCTTAAGACGCCCATGGAACTTATGATGCGCTTTGAAAATCAGGTCCCACATCGAGATCGTCGAGGTAACGGCCAAGAGCTTCTTTGGCTGCTTGCTCCCCTCCCCCCCATGATTCGATTCAGCCATTTTCTCGGCAAAACTATTGCCGCCCTACCGCGGCAATGCCGACCACGATAAATGTCTTTGGGCATGGACTTCCAGCTGAGGCAGCTAGCTCAATGACAGGGGTGATCGGGCGGAAGGTGACCCCTACAGCCATGCTATTCAACGCTGTTCAGAAAACGTACCAACACCGCCTGATCAAATTCCGTCCTGGCCTCCGTGCAGGGGAAGCAGCATAACCTACAGAATCTCCAACTATCATACAGTACTGTCCTGACAAGCACGAGGACTGTATTGCTCCTCACGTTGGTACGGAGCATCTCACTGTAGCTCTCTATCTTGCTGGTCTCGCTCTGGTACTGTTGCCAGAACTCGGGCGACCACTTCGGCGGAGGCGGTGTGCTGGAAGTGGCCAGCTTGTGGTTCTCCTTGGCGGCCTCCAGCCTACAGCACAGCGTCACCACTCAGCACCGGGATAGGATAGACCGGAGCCTCACACACCCTCTGCTGCCACCGGTAGCCGGCACTGGGTAAAACGTACACGTTGCAAAAAAGATCGGACATAGATCTGGCCTATTTTGCTTGTCTTTTGCCGGTGAATGAATTTGCATACTTCCATGCAGCCACACCAGCTGAAGGCACGGCTGTTGGGGCTGCGGGCGTTGTTGCGGTGTCAGCGTGCCTCACCATTGTATCAGCCTGTTGGCCTCGTACAGGTGGACAGTCCGCTTAGGAGTCGGTGTTGCCCGTATCTGACCAATCAGCATCGCCAGGCTGTCACGCTTCGGCTTCCTTGGTCTCAGACGTGTCTCGTGCACCACGTTCACCACCTCCTGGTACATCTCCTCCTGTACCTGGAGACACAAGGTCACGTGCACCACACAGCGCGACGCGGAGCATGTGGTATGCGTAGGGCAGGGTCAGAGGGTACATTGTACCGCACAGCTCTGTATATGCCCGGTCCATCTTCTCCGGCACCTGGAGCACATCTCCTCCAGTACCTCCACTGGGAGTGATAAAATATATCGTGCCATGCACGCAACGGGTCTCACTCTTTTCAGCACTGAGCAAACAGACTAGTTTCCCACATCAGGAATCGGGCACTTTTGCTATCGACGTTAACGTTATATTATCGAAGGAATGTGAATGCCTCCCAGCGCCTTTGGGCTGCATACCTTTCCTGACACAGCCTCTTTCCTGAGCGTAAGAAAACAGGTGGAAATCGTACCAGGTAGTATTGCGAAAGGCTGGTGGTTATACTGCTGGACATCTCCACAAATCCCAGTCCGAAATGTATGACTCACCTGCCGCCATATGCTGTAAGTGACTCAGAACCCCTACGGAGAGCCCGGTTACAACATGCACCATGTCTGGCAAGGCAGAGCGACGCTTGTGACTTACTGGCGGCATGTGCACCAGCTCTCTGGTTTGAATCAGCTTGATGGCAGCTGGGGGCTCGGCCGACCGGTGCGACGGCTCAAAGTCGCCGGCGCCCCACCAGGTCATCGACCGGGTCACCGCTTCGTCCGTACACAGTAGACTCATGTCCCGGTTTCGCAGGTCTGAAACAACACCACGACCGTGCAGCCAGGTCGAAGAAAGTAGGCGTGGGAGGAAACTGCTGAAACACAGGGTGATTCAGGGTGACTAGGCACAGGGTGTCCACCACAGGGTGACAGCGCCCTCAAAGCGGCCGAGTAGACAACGCTAATGTTTGGAGAAATCAAAACATAATTGTATGTAAGATCCCGTTTCGGCGGCACGGAAGGAGAGGGGAAGACTACTTTTTCATGGACGCATGAAGAACGAAGTGCTGTATGAGCCTCGATTTAGTTTTGAAGTCTTGAGGACCTGTTGGAGAGAACATATTCCTCAGTTATTTTTGCTGTTCAATAAGCTGACATTTGCATTGATAAATATGCAGCTCAACGTATTTATCTGTTTCGGGGAGGAGGTTGTGCGCGCTTACTTGCAGGAACTATGCTATATTCCACATATGGCATCTTCCACCGCTCCTCCGGCATTTCGTTGGCGGCCAGCGGACGAAAAACCCGTACGGTCGACACCTCAGGATCAACGGCGTGGGCGTCGCGCCAGACCTGGCCGCCGCGCGACG